GGCCTGGGGCCGGGCGGCAGGGCTGGGGTCGGGGTCGGGGCCGGACCGGAGCGGAAGGGCCGGGACGGGAGCGGGGGCCGGGGTCGGAGCCGGCTGCCGTGCTGCAGAGAAGGGGTACCAAGCCAAGCGCCTGCAACCGCTGCTGCTATCGTCGTCACCGCCACCGCTACTCGCCGGGCGTGCGCGCTGCGATCTGGCGAGGAGAGCGCCCCGCTCCGCTTTTATGGCTCTATGGCGGACCACGTTGAGAACAACAACAGCCTGGTCCGGAGACAGCGCCAACTTGTGCTTCTTGGAACCCCTTCCCCGGCCGCTGGCCTCCTGGGCCGCGCCTCCCCAGCGCAGCCGCACCCGCAGCGGTGCGCCCGGGACAGGGCCCGAGCCCGCAGCGCGGCGGAGAGGCTGTCTGCGCCCAGGAGGAGTTCGGCAAAGGGGAACAGAGAGGTGCACCCTAGGCTGCGGGAGCGCGAGAGGAGGGGGGCACCCCTTTTGGGATTGAATAGCGCGGGCCCCGGCGGATGCCCCGAGGCCCGGAGCTTTGCGGGAGGCAGCCAAGAGTGCGCCACAGACACCTGGGCCCTGGCCCGCCTCAGGGGACCCCAGGCTTGCCCGCAGGATGAGCTTTAATTTGTCCGAACTAACACAGGGCACGCCCTCACGTGGTCGGCTGAGGCAACGTGAACTGCGTTAGGACTTCTTCGAGGGGGGTCTCCGCCCTATCCAGAGGGGATAGCGGATGGGAGGCGCCCCCTGGCTGCGCCCCTGGGGTCCCGGCGTGCCTTGGGGGCCTGGGCACAACGCTCGGGGCGGGGGCGACGACCGCAGGGGCCTCCTTGGGGACATCGCCTAGCCGCTCCCACTCTTGCCGCTGATGCCCCGTGTGCCCCATTTTGTGATTCGGAAGCAGCCGTCGCCTGGGCCCCCAAAACCAAATGTAGGCTCTAGGGTGGGGCAGGGTGGGCGACTGTAAAGCTGCGATCTAAGTCCGGGTGAGAGGCTGGCGGTGGGGAAAAGCGGGGGGGGGGAGTTCCTCTTAGTTCCAGGCCACACCCCTCCTCTCTTGTCTGGGAGGGAACACAGCGCCGGACAGTGGGACCTGGAGGGGGATCTCCGGGCACCAGGCGAAGTCCTCCCGGGGGCCTCGTGCAAGTCCGGCGGCCCTGAGCTGTGCCGGCTCCCATACTGTGAGCACAGGGGAGGCGAAGGACAGCCTTTCTCGAAGGCAGAGAAGGCTCTACTTAGGGAAGCTGAGACCAGGGCAAGACACTCGGGGAGGAGAGATGGTCCCTTTGGGGGTATATGATTCTAGGGCCCTGGACCCTGGGCTCGGCAGAAGGGGGTGCGGACGATAAACATTCTCCTGAGGGCCCAGCCTGCCAAAGCGATGGAGGGGTGGGTGAATTAGGGTTCCTGGAGTGAGGGAAAGGCTCATTTGCAGGCGGGGAAAGCTGGAGTCGGGTGAGGTCCCTAAAAGGGACGCAGGCTTCTCTGGGTGAGTCCTGGCAGTCCCCTCCCCTCTTCTCCGAATTACCTCTTCACACATAAACCCAATTTTGTCCTGACAAGCTAGTGAATAAGCCCCTGAAGGTGAGGAAATTGAGGCCGGGTGGGAAAGGTGAGACTGGGTGGTTTGGGGAGGGGGGGGTATCAGGAGCACGGAGCCAGGAAAGAGCCTTGACACCCAGGCAAGGGGTACACGGAGAAAGAGGGAGAGAGTTTGCAGCCCCAGTCCCTGCAAAGAAGGCAAGCCCCTCTCTCCCAGGAAGATGGACCCACTGGGTGGAACAGTCTGCCAGAGGACAGAAAAACCTTGAGGGCCTGACACCTCAGCCAAGGTGACAGAAGACCATCTGAATTTCCTAACAGAGGGAGAATGGGTTTCTGAAAGTACCGACGGAGCCAAGCCTTGGAGGCAGCACTGGGGAGCAGGAAGGATCTTGCAGAGACTGCACGGCTTGAGCAAATGCTTGTGAGTCTGCGGACCAGGCTGCCTGAACGAGGCAGGCAGCATGGAGAGAGAGAAGCAGCAAGAGGTGGTGCTGGGGCCCGCTGAGCAGAGTTCCCAGGAGCAGGAGCCAGCCAGGGACACGAATGTGGCAGCTGTGGCTGGGGTGGCACCAGGGGCATAGACATGGTATAGGAACAGTGAACTGCTGCCAGGTGGTGGGCCGAGAGCTTGGACTCTTGAGAGGTCAACGGGAGTGTAGAGGAGATGCCCTTGATGGTGCGCACCCCCTCCCCCCCAGGAGCAAGGGTAACACTCAGACTGAAATCCATCCAGCCACCACAGGGGGAGAAGGTTGCAGCAGCAGGCTGGGGCAGGGACAGACTCCCACGGTCACTGTGGAGAGGAAGGGAGGATGCTCCACTGGAGAGAGAGGAAAGGGGAACCAGGTGTGGCTGTGTCATGGAAGCTAAGGAGGAGAGAGTTTCAAGAAAGAAGGGCCTGTCCATCACAGCACTGCCCACTCAAAGCCAATGGGGAGTCAGAGCAGGCGGTCCTGCAGAGCTGAGGGGACCCAAAGACACTCCCTGGACTCTGTTTCACCCTGTGTTTTGCAAACTTTAATGAATTCCAGAGAGGCTGGAGCTTGGGTTTCTTCTTTTTTTTTTTTTTTTCCTAAAAGATGACCGGTAAGGGGATCTTAACCCTCGACTTGGTGTTGTCAGCACCACGCTCACCCAGTGAGCGAACCAGCCATCCCTATATGGGATCCGAACCCGTGGCCTTGGTGTTATCAGCACCGCACTCTACCGAGTGAGCCACAGGCCGGCCCGGGAGCTTGGGTTTCTTGAAACGAACCCAAGCAATTGTAGATAAAAGTGTAGATTTCAGATTTCCCTTTAAAAAAAATCTGAAGATTTGGCCTGGGGGGGAGGGGGAGCAGCTCTGCCCCCAGAGGGGTGTGGACTCCCAACACCTTGTCAGTGAGTGGGGGAGACATGGCCATGAGTGGAGGAGAGAAGTCAGTGGACGGGCGGACATGTGCGGGCAGGGCAGTGAGGCCCTAGCATGGAATAGGACTCTGAAGGCTGAGAGTAGAGGGGGTGCTTTTGCTGAGAAGGGGTTGCATGTGCTCCAGAAGACTAATACTGGGTCTTGGGAGCTGGCAGGGACCAAGTGGTCTTATCCCAGTCATTATACAGATGAGGAAACTGAGGCCTGAGAGAGGATTAGTGTCTTTGGCCAATTAGCCAGAAGGAGATCAGGACCCAGGCTGGGGTCCTGCCAGCCTTCAGGGATGCCTCTCAACCCCCACACTCCAGGTAGCTCCCTCCCTCTTCAGCCCACCAAGAAAACCATAGGTAGGGAAGGCCCTCCATGGTCAATGAAAAATGGCAAAATATGAAAAAAGAAGCATGTGGAAGTGGCCAGGGCCTAGCAGAGACCAGGGCAAGACCATGTGGCTAGAACCTGAGTCGCCCCCTTCCCTAGGCTGGGCCATTCTGGAAGAAGCCTCAGGCTCATGCACACGTGAAATTTCTGGGTGCAGAGTCTGGATGGTGCTTTATTGCTGGGCCCTCTCCCCTTCTCTCCCTAGGTGAGCTCAGCCAGTTCTGGGGCTCCAAATACCATCCATATTCTGACAACACCCCATTCCTCCACCATCCCAGATTTCTGCCTGTCTGGTGCAAATTCCTGCATCCAGCTGCCTCCTACCATGTCCACGTGGATGTCTGTGTGGTGGCCAACACAGAGCCTTCTCCTCTCCAAACTTTCACAAACTTCTAGCCAGAGCTTGGGCAGTCCTCCCTGATTTCTTTTTTCCTTTACCCTTTCATCCAACCTGTCAGTCCACCCCCCAAAGTGTCACACATCCGCCTGTGCCACAACCTACAACCCCCTTCCGCTCTGGCCTCTGGTCCTCTCCGCTCAACTTCTAACACAGAAGTCTGATCTAGGGGTCCTGCTCTGCTGGAAGGCCTCCAATAGCTTCTCATCAGACCTAAGATAAATTCTGCACCAGCCCCTCTGCAGGTAGCCAGCCCCTGCCAAACTCTGACCTCTCAGCCACACTGGCATTTCTGCTCCTCACACATACTTCAGGACCTTTGCATCTGCTGTGGGTGGCCTGTTGCCGGCCCCTCCTGTTTAGAGCAGCTCCCCTAGGCCTTGCTAAGGGTGTCCCTGGAATCCCTACAATACCCTGCCTGGTTTTCTTCATAGCATTTATCATCATCTGACCCCATTTTGTCCACTGACTCGTGTGCTGGGAGCCCTTCTGCCATGCATGCTCCCTGCCGTGCCTGACATTGGGCACACCCTGTTGGTGCCACTTCTCTGGCCTGAGGGCTTGCTCAGGCTGGCTGCTGACCCAGGCATGCTGGTAGAAGCAACGACAGGAACTGAAACCGGACAGGGGGTCTAGGTCCTTGGTCAAACCAAGTAAGGAGAACCTTACCTGGGACCAATCGAAATCCACAACACGGTGAGCACATGTGTCCCTGTTCTTTCCCTGTCTCGATTTCTTCCTGAGAGAGTTTGCTCTCATAAATCTTTTTGGGGTAAAGAGGGGTGTAGATACTGTCAGTCTTCTATAGTTACTTCCTGTTGATTCAGGGCA